GGAAGTCTGGGAAGAGTCTATTGTGGCATCTCAGAGGATTAAGGTCATGACTGGTTTTGAGATGAAGCAGTGGATACAGATGGAACGAAAGCAACAGATTCAGTTGTTCAAGGTCAGAACCAATCTAGCGAAAATGCTCAAATCCAGAGACACAGGGAGCAATTTTTGTCTCCAAATCACTGGCTTGCAAAAAAAAGACATTCAAGTAGATAAGGTCGCCCCATTGTACCTGCTGGCATCCAGGCACGTGCGGCGGTTCTGGCACATGGGAGGATCCGCCTGCCGCAGTCCTCTCTGGAGGTGGTTGGAGCCCGCTGCTGCCGCTGTCCGAGGAGCAGCTGCTCTCCATCCTGATGGAGCTCCCTTCATGGTCCAGTGTGAGGAGAGGAATGCACGAGACCTTTCAGAGGTTGGTTCAGGTAAGCAACAAGTTCAAGATGGCCTATTTCTGGATGGAATCGATTTCACAATAAGAAGCAACTATACTAACAAACTTTCCTCAAAATGAGCCTAATTTGAAGAAGCAGATCCGTGTGAGCAGATCCTGCTCAACACCCACAGCCAGGACAAAGGTGACATCAATGGTGGTGACATTTTCAGAGAATTTTTCAATGAACTCCTAAAAATTGAGAACTCCAAGCAGGGGTTCCTCAAGACTACTAAGACAGGGTTTTCGTACCCCAGCCCTGCTTTTCAGAAACGTGTGGGACACTCTCACTCGACACTCCTACTTCCTGGGCAGAACTCCGAGGCGGCTATGAAAATGTGCCGGTGCAGCTTCCCGTTGCCGGCTTCCTCCTGTCCATGCTGCTGAGGACAAGTGCAGATGTGGATCTCTACCACTTGGCTTCCTTGGGCACTGATGTCTACTGGAACCTGGCATTCCTCACATCTACAAGGGGGACGTGAAGGAGCTGGGGCTCTGCTTCACCATGGTGAACCACCACCTGACGGAGGCCCAAGGGACTGAACTAAATTTGGCAGGAAAGACACCCTTGACACCAGGGCCAAGTGCACTGCACACACCCACTCAACGGCCAACCACGGGCTAAACAAGCAGATCCTCCCACTCTGTCGGCCTTCTGAGAGGGCCTGGCCAGTGTCATCAGCGGGAGTAGCCGTGGATGTCTGATTAGCAGGAACGTCAGGTTTAATTTCTGGCACACAAGTTCCCATTAGTTTAGAGGACCTAAAATCCTTCACAAGCCAGGTGTGGTGGTGCACGCCTGCAATCCCAGCACTCAGGAGGCTGAGGCAGGAGGATCATTGTGAGTTCGAGAACAGCCGGCGCTACAAAGTGAGCTCAAGGCCAGCCTGAACTGCATAGTGAGACCCTCTCTCAAAAAAAATCCTTCACAAACTATTCTGGAGACTATTCTGCAGATCTTCCTGTCATTTGTATCTTTTGGAGAATTACAGAATACTTCACTGATGAAGAAAAGCACAAGTCCCTCAAGTGTGTAACAAGTTCCTCTCAGCCTGCTCGCTTGTGCTTTGCATCTACAATGGAAGCTCCGAGCTGGAGCAGCTGCCAACAGCCAGCACCCGGATGAGCCTGCTGAAGCTGCCAGAGTTCTATTGTGAGGTGCTTCTGTGCAGCCAGCTGCACTATACCGTTCTGTATGCGGCCAGCTTCGAGCTGGGCTGAGCCGAGCTGAGCGAGCCGGGCTTGGTGAGATGAACCAACTCAACCACACCAGAGGTCTCAGCTACAGCCCTCAGAAATCCCAGACCAGCTTCTTCCCAGCCTCCCGCCCACTGTCACTTTTTAGATGATTTTTATTACACCATGCCCACACATTTAGATGAACGGTGCCTTTCAAATAACTTAAATAACTATTGTTATGTTCTGTGTGGCCAACTTAGTGACTCTGCCAAGAAGAGCACAGTTTTAGACCATGGCAACTCCATGAAATTAACCAGAGACGAAGCTGACCCAGGGACCAGCGACCCTACATCCATAGTCTACAGAGATGGTGCACAGGCTGCCAAGTGCCGGCCTGCAGGGCTACCAGTTCTCACCTGCTGGATGGTTTACAGGCCCGCTAAAACCTGAAGGTGGTTTATCCTGCTGCCTTTGCCCAGAGTGATTAGGTCTGCAGAACAGATAGCAATAGTGTTATTTGTGTGTGTGTGTGTGTGCGGGCGTGTGTGCACACTTTTTAAGCTATTTCCCCAGGTGCTGTTCTATGTTGCACTGACTTACGTCCTGACGGTTTGAATATGGCTGTGTCGGTACGTAGTGGGTGCTACACCTCATCTCCACTTTGTTCCTGGAGAGTTTCTGAGGCAGCAAAGAGGGTCCCTGCACCACGCCCACATCACTTGCCATGAACAGTGGCCAGGGAGAGAGGAGGCACTGCAATTTCTACTAAAGCTATTTGGGTTTGGGGGGGTGTTGTTTGTTTCTGTTTTTTGTCTTTTTGACACAGGGTCTCGCTATGCAGTTCAGGCTGGCCTTGAGCTCTCTTTGTAGCCCAGCCTGGTCTCGAACTCTCAACAATCCTCCTGCCTCAGCCTCCCGACTGCTGGGATTACACATGTGTGCCACCATGCCAGGCTACTAAAGCCATCTGAGCCTAAGTGGTGAGCTGCGTTTGTCTGCGACCATGCACCCACCTTGGCCAGGCCACACCAGCACCATCCTGGACATCCTGGAAGGTTATGTTGGCCCTCAGCACCCTCTGCTGGTTGCTGCTGCTTGGACACGAAGACAGCACCCAGAACTCTATACTCAGTGAAAACATTTATCAAATATGAAGGGAGATGAAGATACTATAAAATGAAACAAAACTGAGAATTTTCCTCATCAAGCCTATCCTAAACAGAAAAGCAATAATGCAAGAAAGTAAGAATGCCAAGAATGCAAGAATGAAGATTTGGAAATAGAACACATTAAGTAAAAATATGTGTAAAAGCAATGTATTTTTATTTTCCTTTTGAGTTTTCTGAATTATGTTTGACAGTGGAAACAGTGTAACTAATGGTAAAGCATTTGTCTGGTAGCACTTATAAAATCATGGGTTCAATCCCCAGGACCACATAAAAACATTATAATACTGTCCAATATGTTGTAAGAATACTACGGAAATATTTTGTAAATTATACTATAAATGGAGGGAGGTAAAGAGACATAGAGGAACATAAGGTTTCCACATTTGATTTCAGTTGGTAAAATGGTGATTCCAATAGACTGATAAATTATATATGTAAATTAAATTGTGATGTTTACAGCAAGCATGTGTACATATTCAAAAATACATTTTAAAATACTATAAAGAAGTAAAAATACAATTCTAAAAAAATTCAAATAACCAACAGAAAGGCAAAAACAAAAAGAATACACAAAACAAGAACTAAGTTGACAAACCGAAGCCTTAATATAGCAGGGATTACATTAAATGTAAATAATCTAAATTCACCAGTTACAAAGAGACATGGATGGAGGGCACTGAAAGTATGTGCTGTCTACGGAATCCTCACTATCCTTACATTCCTTAACATTTACCAATATGCTGGCACAAGTATACACCTGGCACCAGGCTAATACCACCTTCAAGTGTTAGATCCCTGAAGAGGTTCAGTCTGTTGTTTACCGACAGGTAAACAACAATTACAGTTTCATTATAATAAGAAACAGTTGTCCAGAAGGGAATATTTTGTCTTCTCCCTTCCTCCAACCCAACTTTTCTACCTGAGGAAAAAGTTCACTGATTTCATTGGCAAGAACTTGTCATTCATTATGCCAGTTAAGTTACATGGACTTCTTAACTCAAGATGTTTTCTATTCTTCTTCTTCACCAAGCTCAAGATAAATGACTCCTTTTTACCATCTGAGGTCTACAGTGGAGGCGCAGAAATCTACATTTTAACAAACTTCCCAAAGGGCTTGGATACACATGATCTCGCTAAAAAACACTGGTCTGGAGCAAATTCCATTAATAATACCATGCTTACCTGGCAGCTTTTGTGATGCCCAATTAGTGAATAATAAAGGTCTGGTTTCTTTTATATGAAGAAACACCATTTTTTTTATTACATTAAAAGGGCATCTAATACTCAAAAATATTGAAAACCACCATCCTACAGTACAAAATCCAAATTCCTTAACATGATGAACAACAAAAACCTTGTTCTAGATTTTCAAGCACATTTGATCCCCGGTACCCTCCCCACAAAAAAGTGTCTGTTTTTCAAGCACATCTCTTTTACAAACTTCGTAATTTTTTTCTAATACTACCCTACACCTATCTCCTAATATGCTCTCAACTTGTACCAATGCTTCAAGAGTCTTCTAAATTCTTGGAATTAAGAGGGTAACTTAAAGCAATTTAACTCTTTAGCCTCCATCTTTTTGCACACCAACTGTTTCTTGATAACCGCTTCTATTTGTATTCTAAATAATTTTAAACCCCCAAAAAAAGGTATAAAATGTCCTCACAATCCCGAAGGCCTTTCAAAGGGTGTACTTAAATTTTAATTCTCCTCTGCCATTTAGGTGGCCGTGCAGCGGTACCACTAACACTGCACCGGAAACTCTAAGTTTCCCCTTTGCAGATATGAGGGAGAGATACTGCCACAGGTTCCTTCTGTTAAGAACCTCAGAAGGGGGCTGGGGATTTAGCTCAGCGGCACAGCGCCTGCCTGGCAAGCGCGAGGTCGTGAGTTCGATTCCTGGTACTGGGAAAAAAAACCAAAAACCAAAAAAAAGAACCTCAGGGATGAAAACAAAACTAAAGTTTCTGGAGTTTATCCCTTTAACCACATAAGCAAAATCTCGAGAACGAGCACGATGAAAGCAGCCGGCACACCGATCCTCTGTCTCCGCCCTGTACGAAGCCCGCGCCTATAGTATCGCCCGCCTCTGCGCCATCCGAGTGAGCAGACGGTAACTAAACTCCTGCTCCTGACCGATCGCTGCCAGGGGAAGGCGGCCTTCAGCCCCGCGCGCGGGAACCCTCAACCCCCACGGCCCCAGGGGCCCCCACGGCCCCGCTCACGTTCAGCAGGCGCTGCCCGATGCCCGCATTGTCCTGGTCTTTGCGCTTTCCCCGGGCCCGGTGGGCCCGTCCTCGGTCCTGGACACTGCGAGCCAGAGAGGATGACACGATGCTCTCCCGGCTGACACGGGCGCTCTGCGGCGGTGAGCCCGTGAAAAGGGGCTGGACGCGCCCACTGTGCAAATCAGAAGGCCTGTGGGTCTTCTGACTTCGCTCCATCCTTCCATTCCCCAAAGGGTCAGCTGAGACGGCCGCGACTGGGCGACGCGGCGCTCTACTGCCCTCGAGCTTTTTCCGCTACCTACAGCCCACGTGACTTCCGCCTTCCCCTGTGACGTATGACCGCGTGACTCCCACCTACCCCTGTGACGTACAACCTCGTGACTCCCGCCTGCCCCTGTGACGTACGACGCGTGACTCTCGCCTGCCCCTGTGACGTACAACTCACGGGACTCCCGCCTGCCCCTGTGACGTACAACTCATGTGACTCCCGCCTACCCATTTGACGTACAACTCACGTGACTCTCCCCGACCTCTGCTGCCATGCTTGCAGCCTACGTGACCACGCGCCTGCGAGGGACTGTTTATCATTGTACTGCAGGCAGAGACCCAGGGTGTACGGAGGTTGGTTACAAGATCCTGCCAGGCATGAACAGGCTTCAGGAGGAAGCAGTCGTCCTGAATATGGATGTTAAACGCCTTCGTTCAGTGCCCCTTACAGCATCTCCATCCCTTTTTTTCTTGTTGTCCTCTTGTGCTATGAACAGCCTACTGGGACGTCTTCCCCTGACAGTACCATTGCTGCATAGCATGAAACAATAATACAGCCATTGTCATCTTTCCTTCCGAATCTCTAGCATGTTCAAACCCACTGGCTGTAGTATTGCGTGTACTGATTCGTAAACACTATGACCCAAATATCTGAACCCTCTTTTTTCTTTTTTTGGCACCGGGTTTGGGATGCCTCCCACACAGATGACAGCGATGGTTGACTCAGGGGTCTCCTAGCCTACTGTTACCCGACCCTTCCACTGTCCCCATGTTAATACAATTTTACCACTACCCTATCCACAGAGCAAACCCAGAAACTTTCAGGATTTCCTTATTGGCCCCAATTTTAAATGCACTTTGCTACCTCAAAACCATTATTTTCCTATTCTGTGTGAGGGCTAGTCTATTCCAGGGCCAGCTCAAAATCAGACTCCAGGAGCTGGGGATTTAGCTCAGCGGCACAGCACCTGCCTGGCAAGTGCAAGGTCGTGAGTTCGATTCCCCGTACCGTAAAAAAAATCAAAATCAGATTCCAGTGGAGATTTTGAGCTTCATATATATAACTGCCAAAGGCAGAATTAACTCCTGCCTCCAACCGATTGCATGTCATGCCCTTCCCTGTTAGTGGACTCACACTATTAGCTATTAATCTCAAGATAGTTCTTTGGGGCAAGGAACCTGAGCCTCCCCTTTCGCTTCTCAGGGTGCATGGCATAGTATCTCAGGACCCTTAGTACGTATTTGTTTTCCTCTGGGGTCTACCATGCATGTTGTTTAATCACCGTGCTTGAGACTTGCTGTCTGTCACCTTCCTGTGATTTCCTTAGGGTTTGTGTTATGCAACATAAAGTATAAAACAGCACAGAAGAAATGATCTTGTTTAAAAGTTAATCTAAATTTAGTCAACAGCTGGACCTATGCTCGATTGCATAGAAAATTCAGAAGATTGAGGGAAAAAAATAAATAAAACTATTAGGGAAAAGTCAGGCAGTCCAAAATGTAAGTGGGATTCAACCAAAACTGCCTTGTGTGCTCCAAAAATAAAACTATCATGGTGATGTAAAACACACAGCCACTGTATCATAAAATCATCAACTGTACACTTTGGTATTTATCCCAGAGAAGTGGAAATTAATGTTCACACAAAGTCTTGTACACAGCCAGGCATGGTGGTGCCTGCTTGTGATTTTAGCACTCAGGAGGCTGAGGCAGGAGGATCATTGTGAGTTCAAGACCAGCCTGGGCTACAAAGTGAGCTCAAGGCCAGCCTGACCTACATAGTGAGACCTTGTCTCAAAAAGACAAAAAACTTGTACACAAATGTTTTCGAGAGTTTTATTTTAAATAAACAAACCTGGACTCAACCTAGACATCTTTCCACAGGTGGATGGTAAAACAAACTCAGTGTAATATCTTAGAATATTATTCAGCAAGAAAAAAGCATGAATCTGGGATGGCTTTCCAGGGAGTTCTACTAAGCAGAAAAGCAGCCAGTCCCAAAAGATTATACACTGTATAATTTAATGTATTCAACATAATGGAAATGAGAACAGTATTAAAGCAGGTGAATGATTCCTGGGGGTTAGCATTTGAAGTGCAGGAGGAAGTGTACCAGAGGGAGATGTGTGTGGTTGAAAAGAGCAACACAGGATAATCTTGAGGATTTTGAACTGTTCAGAATTTGACTGGTGGCAGATACACAGACTTACACGAATGATAAAATTGTGTAGAATTTAAAACACACAGCAAAGCCGGGCATGATGGCACATGACTGTCATGCCCGCACTCAGAAGGCTGAGGCAG